ATGAGACGAATCTACAAATCCTGGAGTTTTGATTATATTTTTGTCTTACATAGAAGGCGTAATTAAGCATTTATCCCGTTACGGGAATGTAATGCCGTTTCGTTTATGTTTAACCTTGAATCACTGAGGATCCAATCAAAGTGTCTCATGATGACCACGGAAATCATGATACTCGCATCCAAGACATGAGATAACAACCTGTCGTAACATGACTTTCACCGCTTTTAGTGAGAGTTCCATAGAGTGTAAACCAGGATAGTTAGGTATTGGGTGAGCTAGAGCCCAGAGGTGGCTGGTTGTCGTGGCAACAGTCGCCCTAGCTTGTGTTGACCCTAGCCCATTCCACCGAAACATGGTTAGAGGTATACAACTGTACTATTTACTTTGCCTTGTGCCAAACAGCCCGGCCGCCATCATAACCAAAACCATATGCAGGCATCCCCTCCTTATACTGTCAACGTATTTGAGATTCTACCAGTTTCACACATTTTTGCTCCTTTAGTTTCATACTCGATCAAGCGAATGTGCAGCGTCTGAAGCATCCTCGAGGCTTCCTCAACAGACTTCAACACCAGATTCACAACCCGATAGAAAATAAACCACAAAAAGTTGCCCATCGTGGCTCCTCCACGCCCAACCCGCTCCGATCGGGAGCACAGCCGCATTGCCATGGCTCCAGGCGTGCGCGCTGCCACCGCCAACAGCAGCCGCTCCAGCGTAAGAGCTGGGTCAAGAGCACCACCGACACGATATGGCTCAGCGCTCGCGACGCGCAACGGCGCTGTATCACCGACCGGATCTATCGCTTCAGTAAACACTGTTAACACCATCGGAACTAAGCGCAAGGAGCGCGACTTTGAGGCCGAGTCTAGCGCCGAGGAGACAAATATCCAGGTCGTTGTGCGATGCCGTGGACGCAACGAGCGTGAGGTCCGCGAGAACAGCAATGTTGTTGTTACGGCAGATGCGGTCAAGGGAAAGATTGTCGAGTTGTCAATGGGCTCAAATGCCTTGAGCAACCGCTCATATAATTTTGATCGCGTCTTTTCTCAGGCGGCGGATCAAAACATGGTTTTTGATGATACAGTAAAGCCAATTCTGGACGAGGTGGGTTAAAAGAGCATACGGGACACAAATCTAGTCACTAACTGTCTTAGATGCTTTCCGGATATAACTGCACCATCTTTGCCTATGGACAGACCGGTACTGGGAAGACATATACCATGTCTGGCGACATGACCGACACCCTGGGTATGCTCTCAGACGAAGCTGGTATCATTCCTCGAGTCCTACAGACCCTGTTCAACAAGCTCGAGCTCGAGAACGCCGAGAGTACTATCAAGTGTTCCTTTATTGAACTTTACAATGAAGAACTTCGCGATCTGCTTTCATCCGACGAGGGCAACAAGCTCAAGATTTTCGACGACACTTCACGGCGAGGCCATCTCAGCACCATTGTCCAGGGCATGGAGGAGAAGCACATCAAGAGCGCTACCGAGGGTGTCAAAGTGCTCCAGGACGGCAGTTTGAAACGCCAGGTTGCTGCTACAAAGTGCAATGACCTAAGCTCTCGCAGTCACACGGTCTTCACCATTACTACATATGTCAGAAAGCCGAACGAGCACGGCGTGGATGCTCTTGTTAGTGCTGGAAAGTTGAACCTTGTCGATTTGGCTGGAAGTGAGAATATTCAGCGATCAGGAGCTGAGAACAAGCGTGCTGCGGAGGCCGGCCTCATCAACAAGTCACTCTTGACTCTCGGTCGAGTCATCAACGCGCTTGTGGACCGCAGCTCTCATATTCCTTACCGAGAGTCCAAGTTGACTCGTTTGTTACAAGACTCACTTGGTGGTAGGACAAAGACTTGCATTATTGCAACCATTTCTCCCGCCAAGAGTAACCTGGAAGAGACCATATCGACGCTCGACTATGCCTTCAGGGCCAAGAACATCAAGAACAAGCCCCAGCTCAACCCCATGGTTGAGAAGAAGACACTGCTCAGGGATTTTACTATGGAAATAGAGAAGCTCAAGAGTGAGCTTATCGCTACTCGCCAACGCAACGGTGTCTATCTCTCAAACGAAGCCTACGAAGAGATGACGGCCCAGAGCGAGTCCCGCCGCATCGTCAACGAGGAACAGGCTGCCAAGCTTGAGACACTGGAAAATAACTTGCGCAACAAGGTCCAGGAGCTGTTCAGCCTGCAGTCTACGTTCATGGGGCTAAAGAAGGATCACGAGGGCACAAAAGCCCAGCTGGACGATACCAAGGAAGTGCTGGACCAAACCGAGATTGTTCTTTCTGCAACACGCAAATCACTTGCTGAGGAAACCAAGATCAGAAAAGCACACCAGAAGACGGAGCAGAAGCTCACCGAGGTTGGTGGAGAGCTCATCAACAAGCTGCATAAGACAGTCCGTGATGTTGGTGGTCTTCATGCCAAGAACAAGCGAAAGTCGGATCTTCAGTCGATCAACCGAAACACATGGACAACATCTCAAGATCAGGTTGCTGATGTTACCTCCATGGTCGAGCGTCGAATCAATGAGTTCCAGGAGGAGCAGCAAGAACATATTGCAAGTGTCGGGCAGCGCATGGAGAACTTTGTAGATGAGGAGCTGCGCAAGCTATCGACTACGCAAACTTTCCTCGATGAGCACTTGAGCACATTTACTCAGTCGAAAAAGGACTTGCTCCAGTCGAAGCAGAAGTCGAAGGAGGATATGGACGAGGTTTTAGAGGAGATCAAGGTTGTTCGTGACACGGTCAAGGAGCGAATGGGTGAGAGCCTGCAGTCTATCTCTCATTCTGCCGAGAGGATAGCGGCAGATATGTTGAATGAGATGACTGCGTTCCACGGACAGGTAAGTTTCCGCATTGCAGCTTTAGAGGCCATATTCTGACAGGCTACAGCTTCACAATTCTTACAGTGCTATTGGAAAAGACTTCAAGTCCACTTTCGAGGATCTTGTTAAGCACATCACTACTCAGCGAGCCGAGTGCGACAACCTCAAGCGACAGCTCCAAGCAGCAACAAACACAATTGTGCTACAGAATGCTACAATCTCTTCGCGAATTCAAGATGCCCTGGTGGAGGAGCGTCGCCAAGCCGTTGATGAACGTCAGAAGCTCATGACTCAGATAACAGCTCTTATCAACACCCATGCCGACGCTCAGGAATCACGACTTCACGACAGAGCCTCACAGATCCAGAAGAGCATCACAGCCACCAGCACCAACTTGGAGCAGGCCGTCGATACATATGGCGAGGGTATGTCAACGTGGGATGTCAGGGAGGGTGAACTGCTGGACGAGGTCAAGAAGTCTCGTGAGCAGCTCAAGACGAAGTTGAAGGATGACTGGACAGCTGCGAGTGACCACAGCAGCTCCATCCAAGCTACTGCCAAATCTGTCCATGCCGAGACTGTTCGTGTTGTCGACGAGCAAATCAAGGACCTCGATGTTCAGATGGAAGCCCTAGACGACTTTGTCAGCCGTGCAAAGACTGAGAACGGCCATCACCATGAGTCTCACAGCGTGTCCGTTCAGTCGTTGTCCAATACTGTTGAGGAGTCTTTCGGAAACATTTCATCACACTTCAAGTCAACATTTGACCGCGTCAAGAACTTGGGCGAGGAGATGGAGCTCGATCTTGGTGATCTTCAAGATGGCCTGGAGCCACTCAATGACCAGCTCTGCCAACCTCTGGCCAACTTGCGCGAAGACATCACCCGCGCGGCCCTCCAAGAATACCAACCAACGGGCGAGACACCAGCCAAGGTCCAATATCATTACCCCACTGATCTTCCTCGCACTGAAGATCACGATCTCATCATTTCACGCATTGACGAGGTTTCTACACCAACCAAGGATCGTGACACATCTGACAGGGATAACACCATGGTCTTTGCCGACCTTGACTGCCCTCAGAAAATGATGACATCGCCAGTCCGACCTCCGCCCTCTCGCATGTCCAATGCTAGTGCCCCTGAACACATAGGTCTGGCCGGAAGCCTTCGCGAAGTGAACCCCAATGTACCAAATCACACAACGGGGTCCATTGGCTTCGATCCTCGCGCCAGCATTATATCTATGCCCCCTGAGCGCACTTTGCCACTGTTTAAGCGCAGCACGCGAGTGACTCGCAGCGCCAAGAAGGTTGGAGTCAGGGATCCCATCATCTCCGAGGGCGGCGAGAATATGCTTCCAACCGCGCTTGAGGAGAGTCTGTCTAGGAGAAAGAGTCCAAGGCTCAACTGAAACTCTTATACACTACACTGTCTGTCACTGTTCTTTTGTTTGTAGGGCCTTTTTGGATCTGGGAGTTTGGGGCGTTGTAGGGAAGCGTCGCTATGTATGGATGGGTTTCTTCATTGTTCGATCCCCAGCACTGTTTGTTGTCTGGGTTTTCGTTGTAGGGTTATTTGAGTACTTGATACCCTTTGACTTTTAGACAATTACCAGTAAAGTAACGAATGCGATTCATATCATCTTGGTCTCTCTTGTCTGCACTCTCCGTCTGCGCTATCTCTCAACTGCCTCGGTCTCAGCTAAACAAACGTCAGTTTGACTGGTATGACTGCCTGGGCGTTGTTGGTATCAAATTCCAGACTTTGTATCATAAGCAACATCATCCGGTATGGTGTAGTGGCTAACATTTCGCGCTCTCATAACCTGAGAGATCAGTTCCGCGGAGCCCAGGGTTCGATTCCCTGTACCGGAGTTTCTCTTTTGCCTCCTTTCTACCTGTATCGAAACTTATTCACCTTTTTGTCTGCGTCATGCCATTGGGACCAAGTACAGCTACAGAAGGGAAAAAGAGAGACAGATAGACAGATGTATGAGCAGGCATCAAATCATTAATTCTTTTATACTAGATACTCGCATTGTATCATATATTCTATGTGTGCCATGAGTAATGTACGAATCAACCAGACCCGTTTCACTCGTTATTAGGACAGAAGGTTGTTTAAATAGTGTCACTCTGAATTACACCTGTTTCATGAGGACAAATTCTCTTCGTCATAACTCGTCTCACGGCTCATCCCAGGATTATCTCCGTAGAATCTCTTCCTCTTCCTCTGAATAGTGTCCTCGCCTCTCCAGCCCCTTCCTGGCACAATAGGCTTGAGGAAGCCATCCACATGCACACCACCTGCAACCTCCTCGTCACTGTCCAGCTCTTCCGTCTGTCCCTGGTGTATAAGCTCCATATGGCGTCGGAGGTTTGCTTTGCGTGCGAAACCCTGTGCTGCGCGGTCGCATGAGGGAATTGGGCAAAATAACATTCCACCTGCAGAGTTGGAGCGGGAGCGGGAGCTTGGAGACCGGACGGCTGATGATGGCCCTGGAGAGCGTGTTGAGTGACGGCTGGGGCTTCTAACGGAGTCTGGGCTGCGACTTGAGTATGCGAGAGAGGCTTGGCGAGATGCGATACGGCGCTGTATGAGATCTGCGGCATCATCGCTTTCGTCATCGGCTTCTTCATCCGAGTAAGATAGCTGGATAGGCTCAGGGCGATACTCGACGGAAGTGGTGCCTTTATCATTAGTGGCAGGCACTTCGTTCAGCGTCCTCACTACCATTCCTTCGCCAAACAAATCAGCACATCTTCGTGTTGCTCTCGCAATGACATCGCCTGAGAAGCCTGCTATAGCAGCTGCGCCCAGCACATCGCTCCAATCACGCAGTCCCCATCTTAAGAGCTTCCTTTCAACGTTTGTTCCCGGTACTAATTCCTCCTCCGTCTCTTCTCCTTGAGAAGTCGCTCGCTTCAACGATAGAGATCGTGATCGCTCTCGCTCAATGATCTCGTCACCTTTGCGGATCCACTCCTCAAAAGCTGCGTCTCTGTCTTCAAGCGTCGAGGGGATCTTTCGATGAGATTCACGAGCAACACGCTGAAGCATCTCTTCATGTGATTCTCCAGCGCGAGGGACATGGACTTTTCGGGGACGACCTCTTCTGCTGGGCTTACCAGCTCCTGATGGTGAGGTAGAGGCAGATGTGTCAACCTCATGTAGATTTTTTCGCGGACGACCGCGAGACCTCTTTTGCCCACTCTGGCTATGGTTATCTGACTCCTCTTCAGTTGAAGAATCAGAGAGATAATTCATGCCTGTGATACGTGAGTTATGAAGTATTTTTAATGTATTGTCCAGTTGTGATAAAATGTGTCGTGTTGATGGACGTAAGAGGGCATAGGATGCCTCGTCGTTGGTAGACTCGACTGGTTCATAAGTTTTGGGATTACGTCGTATACGCCGACCATCTTCTTCATCGACAGCCATCTTTTCGTCTTCATCCTCTTTTTTGTCTTCATCATTGTCGGGCCTGGTAGAAGACTCGCGTGACAAAGGATCAGGTGTGCTGTTACCGCTCTCGTTATGGACAGGCGTGGACTCATCTTCGATGGACGGTTTGGCCATCTTGATCTTCCTCCTGCGAAACCGACGCTTGGCAGTTCTCAATATAGTAGCAGATATTTCTTCCTCGAGCTCAGTACTGGGGAGTATCTCTTCATTTCTACGGAATGTGAAATGGTCATCTTCGTCGTGCTGTTCGTTGGTGAAGCGCTCCTTGGGCACATGTTTATGTTTGAGTGGCCATGCAGTCCATGCCTTAGGTGGCGCCCAAACACCTTCTTCACCAGATTCCTAAGTTCCGTTGTCAGCGCATACTACTTGTGGCATAAAAGATGATATCGACTCACTGTTTTGACGACTAAATCCTGTGCTGTCTCTGGATTTCGGCCTCGCCGCTTTAGCGCAAAAGCATTGTATAAATGCACCGCGAGATCCTGATCTTGAATCTGCTTCATTGATTGCCAGAGAAGCCTGTCCTCTTCCGTCAGAGTGCGCCATGTCGATTTAGCCCCCGTCCAACGATTCGGTCTATGTTCGTGCAAGTCCTCAGAGGCGATAGATGCGATCTCATCGCTGTCCAACTCCCAGGCCGTAGCGCTTGCTTCCATCTTGACGGAAAGGTGGTAAGAATGATGCGTAAATATAATTACTCGGATGAAGATTAATCGCCAGATATTACATCATTCGTGGGCAATATTCCACCAGGGTGGTTGAGGCAGTATTTGGGGTGAGTTGAGAAGTTCAAGTTTTTCAGAGGTGCATCGCAAAGTACCTAAACCAGGCTATCCACCTGAGCGAGACAACATTCACTAACACAGCATTTGCTCAGCATATATTTGCGTATAGAACTCAATAAATGCTTTTTAATCGTGTACAACTTAAAATCTATAGGAATGGTATAAAACAGTGCCTTAACATTACGCCTAAGCCTTGCCCTTGCCCTTGGTGGCCTTTTCCTTTTCGAACTTTCTCCTCTTGGCCCGTAGCTTCTGGTCCTCGGCACTCTTCTTGTTGTTTGTGTACACCATCTGCTCGTACAGCTTTCTCTTCTTCTTGCTGAGCATACCCTTGGCGCGCTCAAGATCCTCAGCCTCTTCGCGAGCCTTCTTGGTGAGGGCCTTGCGAGCGTCTTCCTTAGCCTTGGCCTTGGCGTTCGTTGTGTTGGCCTTGACAGCACCACCAGTGAGCTCGGCCTCAAGCTCGTCTTGCCGTTGCTCGGCATCATCTTCTTCCTCGTCCTCTTCTTGCTCGTCTGCAGAAAAGCCACCAAACTCGTCATCCTCGTCACCTTCTCCCTCATCAGAACCAGCCACGTCCATACCCTCAGCAGTATCATCAACCTCATCCTCCCCATCGCTTTGGGCCTCAATGGCTTCAGCCTCAGGCTCTTGCTCCTCCAGAGGAACAGTGGGATCATATGCGCCTTGGACGTTCCTCACGAAGGGGCTCAGATGGGGAGGAAGATCAGCCCCAGGAGCATACAGATGAGGCTCCTTCAGCTCGCCGTCGTTGACACTGTCCCAAACCCATTGAGGCTGGATGTATGTTCGTCCTGGGACTCGTCGGTTGGCAGCAAGCTTCTGTGATGTCTGGTTGTCGTCGCCATCAACCTCATCCTCAGCAGAAGCCTGGATAGGAGGTCGATCAACGATCTGGTGAGTAATGTTAGGGTCAAGCTCGTTGGTGGTGAAAGCGCCATCGCCGAGAACAGCGTCCCAGCCGACACGTCTGCAGCCGAAGGACTTGAGGAGGAATTCGAGGGGTTGTCGTGGGGTTTCGCGGGACAGGTAGATGGTGAGGTTGGAGAAGAGGCTGTTGGGGTTGTTTCCGGTGTTAGAAGGCTGGGGCAGAATATCGCCACCAGAGACTGCAGGTTCAAACTTGTCAATTACACCGGCCTCCTGATCCTCGCCCTCAACCTGGTTCTCGGTCGTTGCCGTCGACTCATCATCATCGTTGCCCTTGATCTTCTTGATAACCTTGTTGACGGCAGCCTGAACCTTGGGGTCAGGCTTGTGCTCAGCAGCCTCCAATGTCTTCTGTTCCTTCTCGTCGGCACCAACCAAGGTCTTGCCCTCGAGGGTGAAAGCGCCGAGCTCAGCACCGGCCTCATCCTTAGCCTGGTCGAACTTGGGAGGGTACTTGAGGCCAAGAGAGGTGTACAGTCGGAAGTTGACGAAGCCGAGGAGGGTCATATAGAACTCAACAAAGGTGCCCATGATACGGAAGTCGACATCGCCAACGACGCGCTGGTTGAACTTGTAAGGAACCAGCCAGAGGACCTCCTCGCCCTGGATGTTTGCCTGATAGTAGATACCCTTGATGGAGAGGAATGACTTGGTAACGCTCTGCGACACAATGAGGTAGTGCTGGAACTCGAGGCACAGGCGCTCGCAACGGGCAATCATCTTAGCAGGAACCGAAGAGGTGGAAGGCAAGTTGGCGAACAAAAAGAGCATTGACAAGCAGTCATCAAGATCTCTGATCGCGTCGATAAATGTGGGATAGCGCTCGCGAATGACATGGTCAAGAGTATAGCGAGGCTTTCCTGTCTTCTCAGGCCGCGAAGCATTGCCCTCTAGGCGAGCGGCGTCAGTGACATCGCCTCGACCGAGCGCACGAGAGATCTTCTTCTCAAGAACCTTCTGATCGCGGAACTTTTGAACCAGCGGCTCGTGGAGCAGATACTGGATGTCCTTGGTGTAGTAGAAGGTAGTTGAGCTGGTGGAAGACTTGGAAACCTTCTTTCTGCTTCGGGGCTCGCGAGGATAGATTCCCTTCCAAATGCACAGCTTTCGGAAGTCGGGAAGGCTGATCTGAAGTTTCCGAATCGCCTGGTTTCGAGTAACGTAGTTCTTGGCCGCGCCGGCCTTTCCCTTCTTCTTTATCCGAGGCATTGTTGATTGGAGATGTGGTAGTGTTGGTGGTTGGTTGTGTCTCTTTGCGAAACCAGCGGGGCACTTTTTCCTAACAATCTTTCAACTTTTTTTTCCAACATCAAATTTTATGCCAGGTTGCACCGCCTTGATCCGACGCTAGACCACAGACAGAGGGTTATCATTGGGTGATGGCACGCTCACCGCCCGGGGATATGCTCAGCAGCCTTTAGCGCATTTGCAGCGCCTGGCATCGCCAATCCAGCGAATACAGTGGAGTGGAGCTGTTATCGAGCACTGGCGAAATGGAGGGCTCCAGCCAGCGGCTCTTCCAGCGGCCCCTCTCCCGTCGCAGGTACATTGGATCCCGAAGGTGGAGGGGCCGCCAAGCAAGGACGGGAGCTCATCAACCAGCCAAGTGGCCTCCAATTCAACTGTATCGCGGCCCTCCTCCAAAGCTGTCATTACCAACAATACTCGCTGGAGGCATGCAATGTCAGACACAATGACATTGCGAGGCAAAGCCAGCGTGTTCGCGGGCGCTGCCCTGCTCCGACTTATCTTGTTCCTTGCTTTCCCTGGCCTGCCCGATCTTCTGACAGGTCGCGTCGAGATATCCACCCCCGTCACAAGCTTCAAGCGATGTAAGTCTCAACCAGTCGTCGCATAACGAGCATCGAATGTAGCTTACTTACAAACCCCCAAGTACAAGAGGGTCTATTCCTATATACGAATAATGTCTCGCCATACGATGGTGGTGTCTTCCACCAGGCTCCTCTTCTGTTGCCCTTGTTCTCGCTGCTCCCCAACGTAAAGAGCTGGCCCATCTTCACACACCTACTCTACATCGCCGTCGACCTCCTCAGCGCCGAGGCTCTGTATAAAATTGCCGAGTCGGGTGTTGCGGGCAACTCGAAGCTGTTTACATCCCCGCGCCGTGCCAATAAGTTTGGTAGTGCTGCAATTGCTGCTGGGTAAGGGGTGTTTTGACTCAGAGCTTCAGATATCAAAACTAATAGGCGCCAGCTTCTTGTTCAACCCATACACCATTGCGACATGTATAGGACGGTCAACAGGCGTCTTCACCAACTGCGCCATTCTCCTTGCCATCGCCAAAGCTATTCAAGGATCTCCCTTCAATGCCATGGTCGCAATCTCTTTCGCATCTTATTTGTCTATGTACCCTATTCTGCTCCTCCCTCCGCTTGTTCTCCTTGCCTATGATTGCCAAGTTGAGAAGCGTAGGATTGCTTGCATCACTAAGTTTGCAGCTACTAACGTCGCTGTTGTGCTGGGGTGCGTCGTTTCGTTATTAGGCATGTCTTTTTTGCTTGCCAACAACTCCTGGGAGTTCCTGACTCGCACATATGGCATCCAATTGACCTTATCTGATCTCACACCCAACGTGGGACTGTGGTGGTATTTCTTCATTGAGATGTTTGACTCGTTTAGAGCTTTCTTCCTTGGCGTGTTCTGGCTGCATCTTGCAGCGTATCCCGCAGCCCTCTCTATCCGTCTCCGCCCCCAGCCATTGGCTGTCTTGACCATCCTACTGGGCATTTTCTCCATCTTCAAGCCTTACCCTTCGCTTGCGGATGCCAGCCTCTTCCTATCTGTGGTCCCTCTGTTCCGACATGTCTTCCCCCTCATGCGGTACGCTTTTGTTACCACCTCTACGCTGCTGTACGCAACATTCCTTGGACCAGCTTTTTACCACCTCTGGATCTATGCAGGAAGCGGCAACGCCAATTTCTTCTATGCCATCACTCTTGTGTGGAGTTTGGGTCAGAGTCTGTTGGTGACAGATCTCACTTTCGCTGTGTTGCGAGATGAGTGGGAAATCGAACGGCCTGAGATGGTTGGCAAAGAGATCAGACAGATATAAATCATGATACAAAGGAGATCCAATGTGAGGTCGCAGTGGTGGCAGTGGGTCTGGTAGGCCCTCAGAAAAATTATGATGAATAGTTCGCAACATCTAGACCATGGGAAGGGAACATCTTTTAGAGCTATCCCTCTGACAGAGGGTATTTGGAAGTGGTTTGTCTATTACATAAATGTACAATAGTTTTACATCGTTACCATCATTCCTAGTCCACGTCTGTATCGGTCTCGACGATCCGAGCCTGGTTTGACGGGTGGGAAGGTGTAGGTATTTCCACTGGTCCTCCTAATACACTGCCCAACATGGAACCCAGCGCACCAAACTCGCTGAGTTTCGAATAGTTTTTGTGGGAATGCCACACTTGTATTCGTGATCCAAATGGCTGTAGTGCCTTGTATGTGTGGTAGCCGTAGCCAAGAGCTGCACCTGTGGCAAGGAGACTCAATGCCAACATGAGGGATCTGGCATCAATGCCAGTGATACCTCCTTCAGCACGTCTTCGCACTTCGGTCGCATACTCATCGCCCAGACCAGGAACGTTGTGAAGGATACTGTCAAGAGTTCGGCTTCCAATGCGTAACACTGTGTTGTTACCAGGCTCAACCCACGGCAAGAGTTTGGACTTGCCCAGGCATTTTGTCTTCATACCGTCAACAAACGTGGACAACCGGGGTGTCTTCTTCATGAGCCAATCCTTTAAGAAAGATCTTGGTACGGGCGCATCACGCATCAGAGCGAGATAGCCAAAGGTTAAGCAGTCCAAAGATGATATTTCTGTACCCTTGAAGAAACTATGCATCTTCTCCTCGGGCCCTCCTTCAAGGAAATCGTCCAACACATTGAGACA